ATTTTTTTATTCATGTTTTCCCTGACTTCAAAAATAATACACGGTCATCAGAAAAATTCAAACCTTGCTGAAATATACAAAGTATTCAAATATTTAAGTTAATCATGTATAACATTAGGATAGTAATTCAAAGTAATCGAAAGAGGTCACAGGATTTGACTTGTTTTGTAAGGTCCTAAATATAAGGAACTCTCCTTTTACTGATGGCTAGCTTGAGGGAGACGGGGTCTGTATAGTAACTTCTCAGTTGTCTGTAAATGTCTCTTTAGAAAGTAAGTCCACTGAGATAGATATATAAGAAGGTGAGATAAGCTCATTGCTTCTTGAGGAACTAACTGAATTTTTTTTTTTTTTTTTTAAAGCTGAGCCATCCTGCTACCTGTTGGCAGCTCAACGGCTGCTCAGCTCAGGCCGGGAATCGAACTGCTGTTGCTCAGAGCTCAAACCCTTGAGCGAGCTCTTAACCAACTGAGCCACTCGGCCAGACCTATAGCTGAATTTATATAACTGCTCAGATAGGCCCCTTGGAGCAGCTTTAATGTTAGGCCAGAGTGGGAACCCATTGGATCTAAAAGTGTATGTTTGATCCCAACTATTTGCATTTGGAGACTTAAGAGTGAGAGTAGGGTTCCTGTCTTCAGGATCTCTTTCTTCTGTAGCCATATTTGCTCCCCAAATCATGTCCCTTGGAAGAATCCAGCCAGCTCAATAAAAGCTTTCTGGTCCTGCTATAACTGACATGGTGGAGAGGGCATTAAATGGCTTGTTAAAGACCTTGGGAAACTTCTGGCTTTACTACTTACTAAAATGAGGAGCAACTTAAACTCGGGGAGCACCTTTGTGTTCTCATTTGTGAACAGGGGTAGTGCTACTGACTACTGTCTTCCTTCTTAAGGTCACCAGGAGGCTATAACGAGGTCAAGAATATGAAAAAGCTTTGTAAACTCTCCCTGCAGCATATGCAGGTTAGAGGATGAGGTGATCATTCTTCACTGTTTGAACATTTGTTTTCGACTGGGAAGAATTGGTCTGAGGTAGAGAGAAGTGCACTTTGAAACCGAAAATCTTAAAAAGGAAGTTAATGGCTCAAACAAATGTCAGATTTATTTATAAGTGGTAATTAATGGAAAATGAACTTGATGTACTGAGCAGTCTGAGGAACATTTGGGTTTCAAATCCTCCCTACCCATCTCTCCTTGAAAAGAAAAAAGGAAAGAAGAAAAGGAGAAAAAAAGAAAGGAAGGAAGGAAGGGAGGAAGGAAGGAAGGAATTAGAAAAGAGCATAATTAGAAAGGACATAACTTGAGGATAAAGGCATTCAGTGAGAAAATATTTGTTTGTCTAATTCCTCTTGGCAGACTGAGCTCCTCCAGGTTGGAATTGGGTCTTATTCATCTTTGTGTGGCACATCGTAGAGACTTATTTGGGATAAACCATATGGTATTGCAATTTTTGTCGATAAGAAACAGTCTAATATTGGCAATGCCATATGAATCAACCCCTAAGTATTAGATAAAGATGCAAGAGCTCTAAGGGTCATATTGACTCAGTCGATTGTACCCTGTTCCCATAACACCTCCTTCCCACCTTCAGCACCCAGTCAGAGAGGCGGGGACTTCTCTTTCACTGTCTGTTTGACCCTTAAGATTTAGGCCTCTCTTTTTGAAGCCTCCTTTACTGTTCCCTTAAGCTTAAACATATCTAGGTATTAAGCACGTGCCGAACCAATATCCTTTTCTTATAGTCTTCATACCTCTAAAGAAGGGGCCTCATTATGACCCAAATTTAAGTTCCCATTTCATTTGATAGACATACTAGGCTCTAATCAAACAATGGATAGTCTTCACTAAGGTGTTTTATAGATGATTTTCAGTTCCCCCTTTCCTTCCTCCAATTCCCTCCCTTCCTCAACCTCCCTTCCTTTCCCCTCTTGCCAGCCTGCCCACCTGCCTGCCTTCAGGTGAGGTAGGCCTTTAGGCTGGTGAGAAGATACAGCTGAGTGAACTAGAGGGCCATGGCAAGGCTTGTATCATGGGTTCCCAGAGAGGACAGCTGGGTCTTACATCCTTCCTTCAGCTTCTCATGGTGATGAGCATTGGACAAAGGTGATGTTGAAGGGGATTTATGTGAGTCAAATAGATATCCAAGTTGGGGTCATGAACTTCCATTTTTCCTTCCATATATCTGTTTCTTTTATTTACTATCATCTGAAAAATTATTGGATTGTCGGTAAAGTCATGATGTATTTTGTCTATGTTTTTCAAAGGTCATTTATTTATATAAAGAACAAAGATCAATCAATGATATATTGCCTGTTTTGTTCGATAACCTTTTGCCATCTTTCAGTGAGCGTCATAATTCCTCGTTCATAGAAGGACCTATCTTAATAGTTTTTCACAAAACTGAACAAGGTGCTGATTTACAGCCTCATCTGAATTGAACATTATACCACGCAAGGAGTTTTGAAGAGAGCGAAATAAGTGGGAGTCTGACGGCGCAAGGTCAGGCGAGTATGGTGGGTGTGGCAACACATCCCATCCAAGGTCTAATAATTTCTGACGGGTGATCAAACTTGTGTGTGGTCTCACGTTGTCACAATGGAACACAACTCCTTTATAATTAGCAAACTCTGGACGTTTCTGGATGATGGATTCATTCAAACTGTCCAATTGCCGACAGTACACATTCAAATTGTTTGGTTTCTTGGTAGGAGCTTGAAAAACACGACACCTTTAAAATTGCACCACACTGAGAGCATAACCTTCCTCTAATGAATGTCTGCTTTTAATATTGTTTGAGGCGAATCATCACATCAGGACCAAGGATGTTTGCACACCCCATTGTTGTAAACAATCCACTTCTCATCACCAGTAATCAGTTGCTTCAAAAAAAAAAAAAAAAGGATCGTTTTCCTCACGTTTAATGAGCATGTTGCAGATGTTTATACGCTCTGTCAAATGAACTTCTTTGAGTTCATGCAGAATCCAAATATCGAGCTTGCTTATGTATCCCAGCTTCTTCTGGTGGTCGTGAACACTTGAATGATGGATGTTCAATGTTTCTGTAATCTCTCGTGTCATGTAACATGAGTTTGACTCGATCAATGCCTTTATTTTGCCGTCATCAACCTCGGTGGGCCTCCCTGACCGAGGAGCATTGTTGAGATAAAAATCACTAGCACGGAATTTTGTGAACCATCGTTGGCACTGACATTCTCGTAGAGCATTGTCACCATAAACTTTATGCAACTTTTCACAAGCTTGATGTGCGTTCTTCCCTTTATGGAAGTAAAACAGTAAAATATGGCAAAAATGCACAGTTTTGTCTTCCATCTTCAACTTGTAAAATCTCCAAAACTCAACCAAATTGCTCATTTTTTCTTTAGAATGAAGCTAGACCTGTCAGCTGTCAAATGACATAGCAATAACATAGATGTGAATGACTCTAGTACTTCCAAAAATGAACTAGTGCCATCTGTCACAAACATGCATCATGACTTTTCTGACAATCCAATAGGTTTGGCTGTGTTTGGCTCTGTGACAAAATGGCATAACATTCATGCCATCACAGCCATTTCTGCCTTACATTATGTCATGGACATGCAGAGCAGCACTGCAAACGCTGGGTTTTAAAAATCACAACAACTATGTACAGAGGCCTTGGAAGGTATAGTGATTTTGTAAAATACATTTGGCCATCAGTTCCCCCTTGCTGCAAATCCAAACAGCAGTAGAGACAGGGCCTGGTAGAGGGAGCATGATGACCATGTGGACACATTAGAATGTAGGTTCTAAGGGCAGGCATTCTTGCATCCCTTGCTGCATCCTGGGGCCTAGAACAGAGCTGGGAAGAAGGTATTATGAAGGAACACGTTAAAGTCAAAAGAATGACACTTAGCTCCCTTGCATCTTTATCTAACTAAAGAGACACATATTAAGCACTAAGAAATAGTCATTGAATGGATGAATAGCCATTGCAGTTCAACTATTGAGTTGATGTTATCATAATTCTACAACTATGCAGTTCACTAGTCATATATCCCCTGAAAGCCTCTGTTTCCTCATTTCTAAAATGGGATTATTTGTACCTGTCTGGCAAGATTGTTGAGAAGGTTAAATGAAAATTCATGTAAAGCAGAATGATCCACATAATAGTAGGAACTTAAAAAATGTTAGTACCTTTTCTTCTCATGCTCTTCTAGTTTCCTTCACAATACATTCGTGTGTGTGTGTGTGTGTGTGTGTGTGTGTGTGTGTGTGTGTGTGTGTGTGTGTAGGGGGCAGGGGAGCCTAGGAGAGACAAGTTATTTGGTTCATGTCCAGGGTTTCTCAGACTCAGCTCAGTACCATGCCATTGTAGGCTGGATACTTCTGTGTTATGAGGGCTGTCCTGTGCACAGTAGGATGTTTAGAAGTATCCCTGCCCTCCGTCTACTAGGTGCCAGTTACATCCCCCAGTCATGGCAACCAAACATGTCTCTAGCTCTTTCTGAATATTCCTGAAGAAGCAAAATTGCCTCCTGTTAAGAACGACTGACCCTAATCACCCATTGAATAATTAAATATTTCATTTATAAACAAGTTGTGCAGGTACTATGTACACATTGCCTGTGGTTATAATATATGTTTACATGTATATAAAGTCAGGGCATATACAGAAAAAGAAAAACAGCAAATATCAAATCAAGCTATAAACCTGTAGTTATCCACAAAGTGAGAAATGATGTAGATAATCAGAAAGTTATTTCAGTCACACAATTTCCCTGCATTAGATTGTTTTTCTAATTATGGCTGCTTTTGACTAATCATATTAATAGTAATAAATTCCCTGGACACATGCTGGCTGACGACAGGGAGAGATGACAAGTGTGCCTGGAGAGCAATCATTTGGGTTTCTTAAATTTTCATGGATACCCACAAAGTGTGCGCTTTAACTATAGGTTATCCAACTGCATTGTCCATGTGCAAACTTAAAAAAGTAATAGCAACAGTCATACTTACAGGTGAATTAAAGACTTTAGTCCCCGGAAAGTATGTCTTGAAATGGACTTGATGTTGTTGTTTTCTATGAATCTGCAATAGGTTATAATATTTTTGTCAGACAACTGTAGGGATCTGAGAGCACTTGTCCTGAATCATTATGTTAAAAAAAAGGTGTTTTTTACTTACAAATACTCTAAATGTGGAAGACCAATAAAAGCATCATCACTGATCACATCAAAGGAGTTCGATGTGAATAACCTGCCCAGAAAAAGTACACATTGAAAATGGTTAAATTGACAGATTGTCGATTTTTCCTGCTTCATCTCTCAGAGAAATGAGTCAGTGGGAGTTATGTATGGAAGAATGTCTGGATGTCTGCCTTCTACAGTGTTATTTATTTTTGTAGCTTTTTTAAAATCCCCAATTATCTCCTCATCAAATGCTCATCAAAGAAGGGGGCTTCATGCCCCACCCCTCACAGTGATGGATGTCACATGCCCGGGGTAACATTTTGAGATACAATCGGGTAATATGACAGCCAAATCAACATTTTGCACATTTTCATGAAAAAGGCACAACAGAATCTTTCCCTCTGCTTTAAAAACTCCTGGAGCATCTGACCAGCCCAAACAATGGTGCTCTGCGGTTTTAAGCCTGGGGAACCTAGAAAAGTAGCTCCGTGCTCAGCTGTGCTGTGATATCTCATAGCAGATAGGCCACTGGCACAGGCTCAGTGAACATCAACTAAGCTCCTTCTTTGAAAATAAAACAGGCTGAGGATAGGAAGCAATAAGGTTTAGGAGGAGCCTTAGATACATTTTATTACTAAATAGTTGAAAATAACACTAACTTGGACAAATTTATTTGCAATTTCAAAATCCACAGGGATTTGGTTTCGTAAATACTGATGAAAAGGAATATTACCCAGCAGTCCTCACACCCTGTTGAACTCCTTGGAGAACTTGCCAGTTTTCTGAGTGGGAGGCTCAAAAGAGATAGTCATAGATTAAATAATACAAAACAGGTTTTTGTTTTGTTTTTGTTTTAGAGTTAACATTAAAGTCTGGAACTTGTTAGATAAAGTGTTGATACAAGCTAAAAATAAGGTTTTGCATGTACTGATGACAAATTTATAATGGGTTTAAATGACATTCAGTCTACATGTTAAGGCTCTTGTGTACAGGAAGCTCAGAGTCCACCTCTAACCATTGTCCAAAATGTGACCATACTCATGGACCAGACTAGATGTTTAACATAATTTGACAATTCACACCTTATATATACTGTTTCATTGCACTATGAAAATTCCAATATTCTCTGTTGTAACCTTTTTGACTTTTACTTTTAAAGTCTAGGAATTAAAAATAACTGCCACTAGCTTAGTGACTTCATCTCTCTGAGCCTGTTAACTAAAATTAAAACTAGGAGATCTCATTTTCTAAACATTTATGAATAACTTATTTGATAGTTGGGATTGCTTCAAAATAATAAAGGGAGGAGACAGAAGTGGTTTAGAGATGAATTAAGCATGAGGTGACAATTTTTGAAGCTGGAAGATGGGTACGTGGGAGTGAATTTCATTATTATCTCTACTTTTTTATATGTTTGAAATTTTCCATAAAAATGGGAGGAAACACACACCAAACAAACCAAACTAAATGACCTCTTGCATTTCTTCCTAAGCTATCAGTTCTGGGGTGATGTATTCTCTTCTATCCGTCCTCCCTCCAATGTCATAGCTTTATACTCAACTATTTTACTAGGCTCTGAAAAGTCAACACTAATGAATAGTCATGCATATTAGATGCCCATAGTTATTATAACAGCTTCAAAGGTTTATGATTGTAGTCACAACTTTGGCAATTGCGTCTTCTTACTTCATGGTTCTGGAAAACAAAATTTATCAGCCTTACTCCAAGGTAAGCTAATGTCCAAAGATTTTTTTAGGTTTCAGATTTTCATTTCATTCTGTGTAGACAGCATCAGAGATGGAGAGAATGGAATAAGGCAGAAATAGATACAGAGAAATACTTCCACGTTCACTGGTTTGCAAACTGTCCCATGGCTGAACCAACTTCAAATCACCAGAAGAAATAGCTGATCTCACTAGTTTCCTTTATGTTGAATCTGATGCAAACAGAGTGGGAAATCAATATTAGCAAACAGAACTTGCCCACACGTGTCAGGGAGATAAAAGAGAGCATTTCCAGTAGAATTTTTGTCGGCTTGTTCATTGCTCATTCCTATCACCTGTAATAGTGCCTGTCCCATAGTGGACACTGAATAAATATTTGTTAAACAAAGTGGAATTCATTTTACATTAAATTCTGGTCATTACTACATTACTAGATTGAATGTTCCTTAGAGCAGGGACTTGTCTTTATTTGCTTTTGTGTCCCTAGCCCCGAGCACAGTTTCTGGCTGAAGAATGTTTGTTGAACTAGATTTCAAGGATTAAAACCTCTGGTTGAAACTACAACTACAGGCAAAAAAAAAAAAAAAGGATAAATTACACAAATTTAAGTTAAAGGAAAGAAACCAGAACACAGTCAAGTATATTCTATGTGATTATACTCATATAAGGAACAAAACCCAGCAAAACTGATCTACGTAACTGGAAGGAGGCACAAGGGGAGTCATCACAGTAATGATAATGCTGGGTTTCTGGGTGCTGGTTACAAGGATGTTCACTTTAGAAAAAGTAATGCTTGGGCGGGGAGGGTAAATAGGGAGAACACAGAGGATTTTTAGTGCAATGAAAATACTCTGCATGATGCCATAATGATGGATACATGTCATTATACATTTGTCCAAACCCATAGAATGTACACCACCAAGAGTGAACCCCAATATAAACTATGGACTCTGGGTGACAATGTAGGTTCATCAATTGTAACAAATGCACCGCTCTGGTGGGGCATGTTGGTCATGGGGAGGCTGTGTGTGGGTCAGGGCAGAGGGTATATGGGAAATCTCTGTGCATTTTTCCATTTTGCTGGGAACTTAAAATTCCTATAAAAAAACCCAAAGTCTTAATTTTAAGAAAATTAAGATTTACACTTAGGATATGTGCACTTTTCTTTATGTATATTGTATTTAAATTAAAAGGTTTCTTATAAAAGCTAAAAAAAATCTCTCTGGCTGAGCTGGTGATGAATATCTTAGTCCTTCAATTCTAAATTCAATTGTAATTTTCTGTGAATAAGGATTCCATGCACAAAGATTTGTAAAATTATACATACATTCTAAATATAATGAGTGGATTATCTATTTTATTATCCTGCGTAAAGCTAAAAAGACTTTAAAAGCTCATGTTCTATAACATGGTGAAACTCTAATCCTTAGTTTTTTATGAATTCTTCTGAATATGTTTGATTTCAATATTATGACTTGTTTTTGAGCCAGATACGTTCAAGAATCCCACAGTCCCTCTTTAGGGAAACTGCCCACCCCACCCCATCTTCACATACAACAGACTTGGGTCAGACCCTCGTGGCCATGTTTTATACTATACAACCTCTATCCCTTTCCTTAGATTATTAGGGGCAAGAAGGACTCAGCTTCTGACCCAGAGTCGCTAATTTTGAGGTCAGTCAGCATGGCATGGCCCAAGTAGCTTGGTTCAAAAAAGTGAGTGTGGCTAAAGACGAGTCACTTCGTGAGGATTTGGAATCAGTAGAGATGGAGCCAGCTGGCAGAAGAGCTGAAGGAGAAAGGACAGCTTAGGGTTGAGTTAGATCAATGGCAGGTAAAAGTATGTGCAAGGCACACTTAGGAAAGAGCAGACAGTGAAGGAGAAACGTGTGTAAAAGGAAGTGTGCATAAAGGCTGAGTGGGGAGCCTTCTAGATCTGTGTTAGATCCTAAACCAGTGCTTTCCAATCTTGATCACACTTGAAATGACCTGAGGAGCTTTAAAAATCCTGATATCCAGTTCTCGCCATCAGGGATTCTGGTTACTATACCTGGTGTGTGGCCTGTGCATGGGAATATTTAAAAGTTCCCCAGGTGGCTCTTATATGTCACTAGGGCTGCATATGGTGAGCTTTCCAGTCAGGTACAAAAGCCCCCCTTCACCTGTGGCGACTGAGGTGTTCTCTGCTCCTCGAAGCAAGTCTGGCTGGAACAGCTGCTGTGGTTCATGGAGGTGTTGTGGATTGCCCTGTCCCCATAGCTACATGTAGCAAGAGTCTGCGATAATATGATTAGGATTTGACTGTTCTCCTCATGATAGTACCATCATAGAAGACTTGGTGGGGATCAGTGTACCTTCTGAATGAATTGGGATAATAATTTTTATATTTTCTGTGTCCTCCTTTTCATGTACTTATTTTATCATGGACAACTTCTTATGACAATAAATTTTCAATAATATAGTTTTAACAGGTGAATTTTGTGTTATTTAGCTTTTTAATTGTTGGTTTCAACTTTCATTAGTATGAACAGTATGATGACCATCCTCTTATACAAATATTTTTCCATATCTTTAATTATTTCTTTAGGATAGGCTGGGGACAGATTTCTAAAAGTAACATTATTGGATTGTTGATGGTTTTTTAAGTCTCTAGTTCTTTATTGCTAACTTGTACCAAATTACATGTTTAGCTCTGAGTGTAGAAATGCCTATTTTACCACATCCTCACCAATATCTAGTATTATAATTTTTGTTTCTTTTTCTACGTAATTATGTTCTTTGACCATTGTTGTTGCTTTCTAAGCACTTTTTATTTATTAAGGGTATTACCTATTCTTTTTCTATCTTATTTGATGCTAAGAGTTTTCCCTGCTGATTATGATTGTCTTTTCATTCATGATTTTTAACACATAGAAGTTTTACATTAAAATAATATGAACATGAATTTTTATTTAGAATGAAAAATGAAAACAAAACACTATAAGTATTGGAAGGATGTCAAATATCACAAAAATCATAATATCCATCATAATAGTTAATAATTAACTGTCTACACAAGAAGTTTTACATTTTAAACAAAATATATCAGCTTCTATTGGGTATTTTTTTTCTTTCCTTTTATTCTTAAAATATTCTGTTGTACCCAAAGATCAATGAAAAATGACCTACACCTCCCACTTTTTAATTTTTTTTTTTACACTTGACTAATCCATTTGGGACTTACTTTTATATATGATGTAAGGTGAGACACTGCCTTGATTCTTTCTTGAATATTTACTCAAATTTACCCAAAGCTTTTTTTTGAAGAATTAATGCCTTCCCCATTTGTGAATATTGCTTTCTTT